TTGCTTTGTCAGTACTTTATTTAATGTATTTTTGAACCTCTACAGAATAGTTTATGCTGGTGCCTGTGGATTTATGTGTAACGTTCCATGCTAAGTATAATCTTACAGGGCAAAAAATATAATTAAGAGATATCCCATGTTCTCCTCCTCTTGCACACACAAAATTAGGTGCCTTAGTATAGAATCATAGAATCATTTAGGTTGGAAAAGACCCTTAAGATCATCGAGTCCACTAGTAACCATCACTGAAAGTTTTTTGTTCCTCAGAAGAGTTTCCTGCTATGGTTTGTGACGATCAATAGCCCTGTGAGAGTTTGTTTCAGCTTCTATCAGCACTGTTCAAGCCCATTTAACAGCTCCCTTTTCTTGCGCAGTGAGTGTAGCTGTCACATCAGATCATATTTGTATCTTGTGCCTGTGAATAAGTGGAAAATTTCATCTCTGTTCAGTCATTTTCTTGGCAGAAAGCTACAGAGTAGGAACCCTTCAACCAGCTCTCTTTTTCTGCTGTTCTGGGCTGTATCTTGGAGCCAAGCTCCTTCTCAGCCATTGCCGTGGCTTGATGAGATGGGCACAGCATAGGGGGGATCTGAACTAACTCTGCAGTTCCTAAGTAGCTTTTCTGCCTTCTAAGAGACCTGTACAGTGTATTTTGTTGTGTGAATGGCAGCAGATTCCCCATCCCCAGGCAGGTGTGGAGAAGTGGAGCAGCCCTGCAGCAGCCCCCTCTGCCAGGAGAAGAGCGAAGGGAAGCCAGGCTCGTATGAACTACATGGGTTTGGTTTTGACACAGACTTCCTAGAAGTAGGCTGGATTAAGGAAATGGAGGAAAGGAAGGAAGGGAGGGTTGCTGCATGGATTCAAGTGGAGGTGCCTGGAAATCTGTGTCTTGGCATGCTGGGCTTGTGTCTCAAGCTTTGCTTATGTGGGCTGAGGAATCTGTGTTGGTTGGAGGAGACTGAAGTCTCTGGATTAGTTTTATTGATAATATGTTTCTTCTTGGCCTTTTGCACTGGCTTTGTGGTTTCAGACTCACTGAACCTTCAGAAGGGTTAGCTGGTTTCCAGCAGCGGTGCCGAAGAGGCCTGGAACCAGGCAGTTCACTAATTTACTCCTGGGAGCAGGAGTAATTCATCTCCCTGACAGCGTGCTCTGATAAATGCCAGCAGGCTCCCTCCTCCCTCTCCCCGTTTGTTTACAGTTTGAGGTAAGGCAGCTGGCGAAGGGTAGTGCAGCGCTCAACAGAAACGCTTCCATGCTGAGGCCAGGATCTCTCTGCTCTGACCCTGGGAACTGGGCTGGTGCCGTTCTCTTCCCATCAAGCAAACTGGTGCTCTCCATGTGCTCTCCCCTGAAGCTCAGGTCTGCAGGCTAAACCTGAGCTTTCCAGCTTGCGCTCCTTGGTTGGAAGAAATGTCCTTATAAACAGCACCAAACTGGCCTTGCTGCAGATCCTGGATCTCACCAAGAGGACGGAGACCAGTGTGACGTGGTCCACTCCTGCTGGATGTGTTTTGGGTTAGGTGGCACAGTGTGTTAGCCCTTTTGGCCAGCTCAGCTAATCCCGTGGAGATGGATCACAGAGGTCTCACTCTCTCATGCCGTGAGTGTATCTCAGGCGGTTGAAGGGACCACGTACGGTGCTGAGCTGTGGACGCACTGGGGTTCTGTCAGTCTAACATGGACTGGGTGAGACGGCAGCTCAACTGTAGGTTCCTCTCCTCCATCCTGGTGTTTGTATACTGGAAGAGAAACAAAGCAGGGACTGCATGGAATTAGTGAGTGGTCATTTAAGGGGTCTCCAAACATTATGTCTTAGGAGTGGTTGAGATATTGGGGAACCTGGAAGGAAGGAGAAGAGAAATGGGGGAGATTTCTCCTCCAGAGGGGAAACAATTGAGGCATGTGAGCATCCCTCTGACAACCCTGCTCTCGGCCCCACATCCCTATTCGGTTCCCTTTTTATCAGAGACACATTTCTCCTTGCAATGCCTTTCCCTTTGCTTTGCACTTTAATGTGGAGGGCAAGGGTGCTCCTGCTCCTCTAAGTGTGGATGCCAGACGTGGCTGTGGGGAGTTTGTAACCTCTCACCCTCGCTCGGATTGGGAGAAACCTCCTCTCCTCTGATCCTGACCTTCTAAGTCCTGCCTTAATCTGCTTTTGTCAGTGGGGGCATTTTGGCTAAAATAATCCATTTGACCCCAGACCTTTTATTCCTGACACTTTGCCCTCTGGCCCCTGCGCTCTCCCTGGGAAAAGCCAGCACGGCTTTGGCTGCCCCCGGGCCGTTGACTTGTCAGCGGCTGGTGTCATTCCTAATCCCAGGAACCGCTTCTGCCTCGGGGTCACCTGCCCTTCCTTCTCCTGCCGCCCCATTCACGGCAGCCGCCCACCCAGAGAGCACGTCTCAGGAGGGGCACGCTGCCAGCCCGCTGCCACCTTAGGTGGCTCTAAGGTCTCTGTGGGTTAAGATGAAGGGGAGGCTGGTTTTTTATAAGTGTCACCGGAGTCCTTAACGGTGCCTCAGGCGGTGATGTCCCCACACCACATGGCAGTGGGGGAGTGGGTTTGCTGCTTCCAGGTGGGATTTACAACGTGCGAGTAAAAAAGCACTGGAATAGGAGATCCAGGAGGATACCCTGCCCTGTGCACTGTCTGCAGTGGAGGGCGATCTGAGAGCAGCTCCTTGGGCTCAGCCGGAGGTGGTGGGCTGAAAGCAGAGGGCTGGGGAGATCCATGGCCTCTCTGCTACCTGGAAAGCAGCTTCTTGCCTCTGATCTACCCCAGCGCAGGGATCCTGCTTTGGGGGATGCACCAGCCACAGCCATTGGGAAAACTCAGAGAAAGGCAGCCTCTGAGAAGGGGACTCTGGAGGGACCGGGCATTTCTAGAAGACAGAGGAAGGAGAGCCTGACTGTCTCTCCTCTCTCGACACGTGTTTAGCAGCCATCAGTTTGAGTGACATTAACCAGAGCATGTTTTGGAAGCACCCGTGGTTTGGAAGTTCAGTCAGTCCCTCCCTCTCCTCTGCTTTCTCTATTAAAAACCAGTGGGGCAAGTGGTGAGTGCTCGGGTGTTCTGGGCAGATGGAGGCAGAGCGGGGGTCTTGGTGAAAGCAATCGGGAAGGGCTCCGGCACCCCTGGGGTGAGCACAGAGGGTGCTTGGGCCAGCCCAAGCCACAGCTCACCATCAAGAAGAGCCAGATGGAGAATTCAGGGCTGAGGCTGGGAGGGAGGGTGAGAGTGGAGGGGAATTCCTCTCGTGCTTCTGGGCTAAGGTAGTGCTCTGCTCCCACCGTCTGGTTTGTGTTCGGGGCATGGTATGGCAGCCCCGGGTCCCTCGGGTGCAAGAAATGAGTAGTTGCTCATGGCCATCCCAGCATTATTCATGGCTGCCTGGAAATACCCACAGGTTTCGTCCACACTAACCCCTCAAGTGTGTGGGGGGGAGAATGGCTTTCTTCCCAGAAGAAAGGAGGTGGCCAGCCCAGGGACACCAGGGAAGCAAGAGTGACCTTTCTGTATCTCCTGCTTCCCAGAGTCTGCTGATGTCTGCCTCGTCCGTCGCTGTCAGTCTGTCCGCCTCCCCTCCCATTGCTCTGGGCAGTATCTGTCTGCATTAAGAACTGGAGGTGGAAGTCAGAAGTGGTTTGCTTTTGTGGAAGAGTGCTCCATAATTTTTAAGCCTGATGTCAAAGGCTAGGCTGAGCTCCCCTTTACCTCATCCATAGTTCTTTAATTAAAAACAATGGGATTTCGGTGTTCTCCTAGAACTGCTTGATGGGGAGGCGGGATGAGAGGCATCTCCTTCCCCCCTGCGTAGGGCGGGCAGTGCCCCGGGGGCCCACCAGCCCAGGTCTGGGATTTTGGATGGTGAGAGAAAGGGGACTTGCTGTAAAGGCCACATATTTCCCTCATTCCCATGGTAACCAGCCCATTAAGGAGATGTAGATTAAACTTCCCCAGCTGGTGTGTGTTCATCGGGCAGCCAGGGCCCCCTCCTCCTCCTCTGGATCTGCCCGCTGGGAGCTGGAAACGTTTTGCAGCAGCCGGAGCAGGTGGTTGTGATTTCGGCAGGAATCCGGCACGCAGGCGGTACCGCCTGGTAGCAGGGCCAGCGCAGGTGACGTCGGGAATGCGACGGGTGAAACGAGCGGAGGTGTGGGACCCCCCCAGGTCTGCCGTCTGCCTGAGCTGCTTCTCCCAGCAAGCAGCGTTCTGGGGTCTGCTCCAGGCTTTGGGCAGGCTGCGGAGCTTGGAATCTGCAGTGTGTGTTGAGCCAGGGCTAAGCAGCCGCGCTTTTAGGAGCAGCACTCAGAAAGGAGATGCTAGCCTGCTGTGGCTCATATCATACTACGTTTATGGTATTAGTACTATAGTGTGACATATAGAGAGGTGGTTGCCCCAGCATCCTCATCAAATCCTAGTCACAGGAACCGTATTCCTTTCCAGCTGAAGACCCACCTAAATCAAAGCTTGCAGCTTCGAGGAGGCATGGACCTTCTCTGAACTCTCATCCCTGCACAGTGGATGGGCTGCTGCGTGGGCTTAGGCGAGGTGTCGGGTTCATGTCAGGCAGTGCCTGCCTGTGCCGATCAGCCCTGCGAGCGGCCTCAGTGCAAGGCAGGAGGGACAGCATCAGAGGCTGCCTCTTTTGCCCCAACACAACCCTCCTTCCCCTGCCACGTGCCTGCTGTGCCTCAGGATTATTTTGTGGCTGCATGAGTAGAGGTGGCCTTCACAGTCTGTGGTGAGGTGGGACTGGTCATGACACAGTGGCTGTTTATGTGTGGTGGGACATGGAGGTGAGCTGTCCCCCCAGCCCTTCCCGCACCCCGATGGGGTGGTTCATGTGCATCCGCACCTCGGGATGTGGCCATATACCATGCCATACGGACCCCTCTGCTTCTGGGTGTGTGGCTCATCCCGCCCCCCACAAGCAGGAGCCTCTCGTGGTGTGCACAGGGCTCTGGTCTAACCCCTGCTGCCTTTTCCACAGCCCGATGCTCACGTACCGCGTAGATGCTGACAAGGGGTTCAACTTCTCAGTGGGTGATGACGCCTTTGTGTGCCAGAAGAAGAATCACTTCCAGGTCACCGTCTACATCGGCATGCTTGGAGATCCCAAGTATGTGAAGACCCCCGAGGGCCTGAAACCCTTAGAGTGCTTCTACCTGAAGCTGCACGGAGTGAAGGCAAGCGGGAGCTAAGGGCCAGTAGTGAATCCAGCAGGGAGAAGGGGTGCTGGGCAGACGGCTGGGATCAGGCAACACCACGTCTTCATGTGCTAAGTTGTAGGGAAGTCTGTAGGAGAGTGCTGAAGGCCGAAACAAGGCAGATCTTGAAATATGAGTCCTAAGACGGACTCAGTCAGTGCCTGCATGTCTTCAGGGCTGCCTCTCACTCAGCTTTGACTCCGGAGGTATATAGGCACTTTGGGAAGACCCTTTCACCCTCAACTGCCCCCCTGCCAAGGCACCCATGCCAAGCACCCATGCTTGGACAACGACCGCACTCAAGCTGGGTGTTGCAAGTCGGTGGTACTAAGTCGTAGGAGGGCTGGGCAGACAGCTGGCCTGTGCAGAGGCTGGGGAGAAGGAGGTGGGAAGGGGAAGGTCTCAGCTTTCTGCTCTTTGTCACATGCCCAAATCTTTCTCTCCAGCTAGAGGCCTTGAACCAGTCGATCAATATAGAGCAGTCGCAGTCTGACCGCAGCAAACGGCCCTTCAACCCTGTCACGTGAGTATTGCCTGGGGTATGTTCATGTGGGGGAATTGCTACCGGGGAATAAGCAATAGCAGGAGAGGGTGGGAAAGGGGCTGAGTTGGAGGCTTCAGGCTAGTACTGTGGGTATCACGCTTTCCAGTTTTCTCCTCTGTTTCCTGCAGCAAAATTTTCCTCTCTTGGCATTGCCCACTCTGCTCTGTGCCCAGCTCATAGACCTGCCTTGGTGGAGCAGACCAGGAGGTGGCCATTCCCCAAAGAACCTCCTCTCCAGCAATGTCCTCACTCGCTCCTCTGTTTTTCTTTCCTCAGGGTCAACCTGCCTCCAGAGCAGGTCACCAAGGTCACCGTGGGGCGGCTGCACTTCAGCGAGACCACAGCCAACAACATGCGGAAGAAAGGCAAACCCAACCCAGACCAGAGGTGAGGAGCACAGATGCCTTCTCCAAGCCCTTCTGAGCACTCAAGGCCTGTGGATGTGCCAGTCCCCAGGTTGGGGAGTGTGGCTGGAGGAAGAGGGACGTGGAGGACAGGTCTTGAATTGACCGTCCTTGTCTTTGTGGAGGAAAGGAGGTGTCTGCTGTGGCCACAGGAAGCATCTCGCCCACTCTATGAGGGGTTGGGGACAGTGCCTGTGCCCCACAGGACAAGGAGAGGGGACGTGCCAAGCCCACCATGACAGCTTGGTGCCTCGGCCTCCAGAGGGGAAGCAGACTCGACAGTTCCCGGTGCAGGATGGCACCCTGACCTCTCTCCCCTCTTGGCAGGTATTTCATGCTCGTGGTAGCCTTGCAGGCACACGCGCAGAACCAGAACTATACGCTGGCAGCCCACATCTCTGAGCGCATCATCGTCAGAGTAAGTCCCTCTCTCCTCCCTGAGCCTCGATGGGTGCCCCACAGCCCTTTGCTGGATGTCATGGGCAATCCTCCTACTTTCCTCTGGCTTTTCAGTGCTTTCCCCACCCAGCCCTTTCCCACTTTCTCCAAACTCTTACTGCCTTGCTTGTAGCTGTCCCTGTCCATGCCTGGGTTCTGGCTCCAGCCTTTCCACACCTGCTTAGTCAGAGCAGCCTCAGAGCACGCAAGAACCTGTTGCAGGACAGGGAAGGTGTCCCATTCTCCCAAGGTTGGACCAGTGTCCAGGGTAGAGCTGTTGGGAGTGAGGGAACATGTTGTTGGGACTCTGCAGCAGGGACAAGGCCTCCAGGTGCAAGAAGACTGGGTACCTTCCCAGGGCAGCACCTTTTGCACGTGCTAAGGCAGCAGTGCTCAAATGCAGAGGAGCAGGAAGAGACAGGCACCATCCCTAGGCTCTCCCAGGGCTCTGCTAGAGTGCTCAGCTCCGAGACGTGAAGGCAAGGGGTAAAACACAAACAGAGGGATCTGTAGACAAGTAAGTCCACAATGAATGATGCAGAATCCAGGGTGCCCAGCACAGAACTGCAGGGAATTGCAGGCAGCCTGGACTGCCCCGTCTCAACCTGTGAGTGGGACACAGAACCACGGCAGCAGGGCAGAATCCCAGGATTTGGGACCCAGGAGCTACAGCCATGTCACTTGGTCTCCTGCTGCCCTGCGTGGTTCTGGCTGGGGCTGTTAGAACAGCTCTGATAGCTGAGCTAACAGACAGCTCAAGAAAGCAAGGATATTCATGTAGGGAGAGGAGCAGAGCAGGCATAGCCTTGGTTCCTGCAGAGAGAGGCTTAGGCAGGGCCAGCAGATGAATGCCAAGGCTGCCTCTGCTGTAAGGGCAGGCTGGGATCTGTTCCCGGGGCTGGCAGTGGATCCCTGCCCCTGCCACTTTGCCTTGTGCTGCTGCAAAGCTCTGTCTCGCACCTCCATGGCCTTGCGTGTCCTCTGCTGGCTCTGCCCTGCCTGTCTGTCCAACTCCCTGCTGTCCCTCCTGTGAGGCTGGGGCTGCCACAGCTCAGCCTCGAGGTCTTCCTAGGGCTGTAATTCAATGTGCTGCGGGCTGGAGAGGGCACCCGTGGCAGGGTCTCATCACCTGGACTGGTCATCCCAAAAGCCCTCTCCCGCTTCTCAGGGTTCCTGGATGAACATGCTCCAGTTTCAGCTGAGATCTTCCCTGTTCCCCTTTCCCTTCTGCGGAGCAAGGACTCTGCTGTGCCATCAGGGTGCTTCTGCTTATGCCAAGCTTTGTTTCGCAGCTGTTTCCCACCCTCACTAATGGGGATGGCACACTGCTCGGGGCTCTCTGATGTCCATCGGTTGCCCATGGGCTCTCCTGTTATACAGTCCCTCTGCAACGTGCATAGAGGGACGGGTCTGTGGGGCTCTCCTGACATCCTTGCTCTGTCCACATCTCAGAGTGCCTCTGCCCAGCAGCACTGCAGCGTTTCTCTCCCTGCTGCTTTTCAGTCCCCACTTTCCTGTCTCTCCACAGGCCTCCAACCCTGGCCAGTTTGAGAGCGACAGCGATGTGCTCTGGCAGCGGGCACAGCTCCCTGATACTGTTTTTCACCACGGCCGGGTTGGCATCAACACAGACCGCCCCGATGAAGCCCTCGTGGTCCATGGAAATGTAAAGGTCATGGGTTCGCTGATGCACCCTTCAGACGTCCGAGTGAAGGAGGACATCCAGGAGGTAAGAGCCAGGCAAACTAGGCTAGGTTTGTGGTGATCGGGGGTCTGAAGAGGCACCACAGAAAGTGCGAGTGACCTTGTGAGCCTGTTTCAGCTGCTGATTTTGACATAGTCCTTATGGGCAGCCTGAGCTCCTTGACCAGATGGAAAGTGCTTTAGAAGTCTGTCTGTCCCTGTCTGTCCCAAACACAGCCTGTCCACCATTTCTTAGGGAATATTGACTCTTCCACTGTTAGCCAGAACTAGCAAATGCAGAAGTTGCAAACCTGGAAACAGGTGAATACATCAGATAGTGCACTGGGGCTTGCCAGAGCCTGGGTGAGAGGCTCAGCTCTGCTCTGAAGTCCTCTCGGCTGGATGTGCCTGTCCAGAAAAGCTGGGTACCATCATGTCTCATATTTGTGAGAACTGCCTCTGCCCTGTGCCTGGTTGTGCAATGGAACTCGGTCTCCTCCTGGCTTCACTACCCAAGGAACTTGTCCAGTGACAAGAACTGGAGATTAACCCCAGTGCAAATGCTGTTTGTCCTAATGGCTGGTCTGAGCAGGGTTCAGGGCTGTCTCGTGAAGGGCTGTCTCACAAAGGTGTTACCATGAGCCATAGCGGCTTTTGCTGCTTGGAGTCAGAGTCACGGGAACTTAAGAAGCAACACCCCGCTTACGAGTTGCTGTTTTGTTGCATGTGTCTGTTCTGTCCCAGGTGGACACCACAGAGCAGCTGAAGAGGATCTCCCGTATGCGGCTAGTACACTACAACTACAAGCCTGAGTTTGCGGCCACGGTGGGCATTGACAACACCTCTGAGACAGGTACGGGCCCTGCGTCACACCGTGGTGACTTGCTTGCCTCTGCAGCGCTGGACCTTGCATTCTGCAACCTACAGCGGCATTTTATTCACGGTGCCAGGCGGCACTGCTCTGCCTTTCCTGGCGGCTGTGCCCAGCTCTGCCCTGGAGCAGCCCCCCAGGCATAGGGTAGGAGAGAGGGGGCTTCTCACCACCTGAAGTTTAGGCATCTAATGAAATTCCCTCTTTAGTGAGCAGGAGAGAAGATGGCACTTCCCACAGGTGGCTTATAGGGTTATGTGATAAGGCTTCTCCAAGTACCCACCTCTCTCCAGGAGTACAGCTACGCACCACAGCGGGGTGATGCAGATACCCCTGTCCACGTAATCGGGGAACCAGCCTTGTCTGAACAGCCTCTGCTCTTCTCTTGCTGAGCCTGTATGGGTTGCCCAGCCCACAGGGCCTCCAGCGAGCTCTGCCTGGCCCTGCACAGGCCGGGGTGAGGGGAGGACAACCCTTTTGTTGTCCCCAGTGAACAGGGTTCCTGCCAACAACTGCATGGGCCAGAGAAAGAGCTGTGGCAGGAGGAGCCCTGCCGAGACCACCTTGACCCACTGTGCTGTTTCCACGCAGGCGTCATTGCTCAGGAGGTAAAGGAGATCCTCCCTGAAGCTGTGAAGGACACCGGGGACCTGGTCTTTTCCAATGGGAAGACCCTTGAGAACTTCCTGGTGGTGAACAAGGTTGGTGGCAGCCAGGAGGGGCAGGGAGGCTGGGGAGGCTGTTGAACCTGACTCAAGGGAGTTGTGGAGCTGGAAATAGAAGAGGGAAGCTCTGATGCCTGGGAAATGCTTCTAGGCCAGCACCACCCATATGAGTTTCAGACCTGGCTGGTCTTTCAGATGTCAGGAGCAGCCCTGGGTGGATGGCAGACATCAGCAGGGAGGAATTAGCCTGATGTTGGTGAAAGTTGGCAGCATCTCCCTCAGGAAGGGCTCCTTGTTGGCAGCCTCCTGTAGGGAGGCTCTCGGTCATAATCTCTCCTTTCTAGATAAGGATAAGGTGGTTATGTCAAGATAACCCAGAGCACCTGGCTGCCTGACCTCTCCGTAACCTGTGGCAGCCTGTTTGCTGCTCTAGGCATCGAGGGGACAGCCTCCCATAGCACACATCGAGGGGACAGCCTCCCAAAGCTGCCAGCTCTCTTCTGCATCACTCTGTCCAGAGTAGGAATGGCCAGGTCTGACCTTAGTGCCTTGTTTCTCCTTTGTGGAAGCCTAGATCCCTGCAGTTACGTCACCAGCTAGCAGTAGCTGTGAGCGTGAGCTTTTCTGTCCCATCTGCGCATGGCCAGGCCGTTGCTGTCCTTTGTTTCTGTGTACAGCCCTCCTCCATGGGCCGCAGCTCAGCATCAGCCCCCGACAGGAGCTGGTGCACGCTGCAGACCAGCCTGTCCCTTGCAAGCTGTGTGGTCTGCTCCAGCTGAGCTCTCCGAAAAGCCATCTACCTGCTGCTACAAAGTACCCATGGTGTCCAAGATCCTCTGAGCGTAGTGCAGCACACCAGTGAGACGCTTTGCCTCAGAGAGCTCTGTATGGGGAGGTGGAGTGGCAGAGCCCGAGGGTGGATGAGGGACAGGGGTGACACCGCAGTGCCGTGGGATGTGGCTGCAGTTGTGCCCGAGGGAGATGGTTGTGCGGGAACGCCCTGCCTTTACCAGAGGGGCTGCAGGAGGAAGGTTGCTCTCCAGAGGCTTCTGAATTTGGGTTCTCCATTGGTCTGGGTCAACTGTCTGTTGGATAATGCTGCAGAATAACTCCAGCAGCTTGCACTGCAAAGCAAGAGACAGAGGGCTGGGGAGGGGCAGAGAAGGGGTAGATGGGGAGCGTTGCTCAGGTGGTTTGACCCAGAGCTCCTGATGAAGATGGGGACTTTGTGCCTGTCCTTTGTGACTGAGGAGGACTCTTTGGATTAGCGCCAGCAGGACACCTCAGGGATCCTGCACCAACATTTATTGTTTTGGTTGGGTTTGAAGAGGATCTCTCTTGTTCTTTCATCCAGGGGCTGTAGAGATCTAGATGTGCCGTGTTGGATGATTCCCTACCCCCAGAGCTGGGGGTCGTGTAGCCTTTCCCCCGGGGCAGGGCATGGGAGAGCAGTCAGGGCAGCCAGATCCATGGGAGCGGGAGTGCCTCCACATGCCAGGCCACTCAGAGGGCTGACCTGTTCCCTGGTAGGAGCGCATCTTCATGGAGAACGTGGGAGCCGTGAAGGAGCTGTGCAAACTGACAGACAACCTGGAGACCCGCATCGATGAGCTGGAGAGGTGGAGTCACAAGCTGGCCAAGCTCAAGCGGCTGGACAGCATGAAGTCAACCGTGAGCTCTGGGGCATTCAGGTACGGGCATGCTGAGGGCACGGGACCCAGAAGGGATGTCTCCTTTTGAGCCCAGGCAGCCCTGAGTGACAGCTCGGTTTGGGAAAGGGGAGATGGGGAGGAGTGGTGGGGTGTTGGCAGTTGTCATTTGGCCTAGGGTAGGAGCTGAGATTGGTGAGACGGGACTGGCATACACGTACCAACTTCCTGCTCTCAGACCAGCCCCAAAAATCCCAGTATGAAATTGTCTCCACGTTTCCCTAGAGTAAATGAGTGGCTTTCTCAGGGCAAAGAGTTTCTCATGCTTCCAAAATCATCATACTGACCCTGGTTAGCTTATGCAGGTTTTGGGGCAGAATTCAGGCTCTCTGGGCAGTGGACCAGCACAGCACTTAACCCCAAGCAGATGAGGTGACAAGGGTTTGTGACTGTCGTGCCACACAGAGATTTCTCCCCTACCTGAGAATCACATTTTTGCCTGGGAATCGCTTCGAGTGCTGTCCCTGCACAGCTCAGCTCCATTCCTCCTTTCTCCTTGCAGCCAAACAGGAAGCCAGTTCAGCCGTGCGGGAAGCGTGCCCCACAAAAAGAGGCCCCACAAAATAGCCAGCAAGGTAAGGGACTGCTCCCAAAGGAGCAACGCTGTGCGCGGGAAGGAGGCCTGTCTAAGAATGGTCGTCTGCATGGTCCTCGTGTGCTTTCTTACACATGCTGCAGAGGAAGAGACCCTGTCTGCTCCTATATCCATCATCTCTCCTTCCTTTTTGTCCATGCCTAATGAAGACGTTATATGGCTTCTGCGCTGAGGGGGTTCAGGGCTTGCGGGGGAGCTTGGCATGGGCTGGGTGGGATCTGTGCGAGGACCAGAGCAGTAAGGAGTCCTGAGCTGATCTTGGGGGTTTTTTCTCTTGCAGTCACCATCAGTTGTCCCGGAACAGGCCTGCATCAGCCAGCGTTTCCTGCAAGGCACCATCATTGCCCTGGTCATCATCATGGCATTCAGGTGAGACCGCACACCCCGGGCTGCCGCTTCTCCACTGTCTCTCTCCAGCTCATCAGTTTGGCCCATGCCATCTGTGAGGTGTGTAGCGAAGGGCTGTGGACCTATGGCTCCTTTCATGGGCTGAAATCCCTTGGAAGCAGATCAGTACCGTGACACGTCCCTTGCCCCACACCCGTCCTCAGCCTGTACCCCTCTCTTTCTTTCCAGTGTGGTGTCCATGTCCACGCTCTACGTGCTGAGCTTGCGCAGTGAAGAGGACATTGTGGATATGGATGGGTAGGTACTTCTGGGCTCTGTGGGAGGAATGTGGTGACTGGGGGAGTCTGAAGCACAAAAAGCAGCCGCTGTGGGGTTATTGAGCACAGTTCCAGTGAGTTGAGCTGTAAAGCCAACCAAACTCGTCCACACATCCAAGTCTAATGTCAGTTAAATTATCTGGAGCAAGAAGTGAGGAACAGAGAAGAAAAAGAAAATACCCTGCTGTTTGGCTGCTCACATATCCACTTGTGGTCGGTCTGAATGTTCTTTGGATGCCTCTTCAGCTGGACTAAAACAGCATCGTCCCCCTGATTGCAGTGGGGCTGGACCAGTCTGTACTAGGCAAGAGTTTTCCTCTGCAAACAGTGTCCTTAGTGCATTGAGGGAACGGCCCCAGCCCGGCAAGTGTGCACACGGGCAGCCTGTGCTGGGCATCCAGTTTTGACACACTTCACTCCTTTGGGAGCTGGCGTTACCAGATAATGAGTCTCTTTTTCTCTCTCTCTTCTCCCTGTCCTATTTCTCTCCCTCCTGTTCTGGTTACATCTCTCATCCAACCCATTTTCTTTCCACTTTGTCTTTAATTTTCCCATTCTTGTCTTTTCATTTCCATTATCTTCCATATCCTCTTTCATTCCCTCGTCCTCCTCATCTTCTACCGACCTGCCTTTTCTTCCCGTCTCCCTTCACTGTCCTGTAGCTCTTTTGCTGTGCCCACTGCCTGTCTCCTGGCCCTCTTTCGGCACAGGGGTCCTGGGGTCCCGGTCGCTCTGTGTCCACGGTATGTTACTGTTTCATTATGCTGTTATTTAATTGCTGCATCCCTTCTCTCAATTCCTCTTCTTTCTTCCATCTGCACCACAGAAGACCAAGAATCTTAAGCAAAATTGAAAGCAAAGAAAGGGATATGAATATACTTCAGCAAGTGGGACTCCAGGAGGAAGGATTATGGACCCTGTCAGGAAGGGGAAATTAGGATTAGGAGATTGAAGAACCAATTAATCAAAGGCTAAGTAAAGAAATTACATACTACAGGTAGAGCAGGAGCAGGCAGTTTGAAAGGAGTGGAGGGAGTATGTAGAACGGATGAAGACTTTGAAGAATTAGCAAAAAAGCTGTTACTACCCTCTCTTCATATGTGAGTAGCTTTATTGTGGAGAGTCACTCTCAAGGACAGGACAGCTTACTGTGCAAAAGAAGGACAGAAAAAACCCCTAAATTATTTCTTTTTATGAGCCATCACCGCTAGGAATGTTTGGAAAGGTACTGACACAGGGAAAGCTGGCTGAGTTACTCATTAGGTACAGACCTGTAAAGCACCTCAGTTAATGGGACCTGCAGGGCTGCTGCAAAATACTTCCCTGAAAAGGAAAACGGGCCCTACCTGTCTATCAGCACCCTTTGAACAAAACACTGCATAGAGCAGTGGAAGGCACAATTAATTTGTTCTTTTAAGAACTCCACATCAGAGTGCTTCACAGGAAGCTATTAAAAAAGTAATTGCTTGTGGGATGCAAGATAAAGCCATGCATGGAAAGTCCTGATGAGGCAGTGGAGGAACATGAGGGATAGGGGTAGGTTTTTGGCTGGGATGAAGGTTAGCTCCAGAGGCTGGTGCCCAAATTCCCTCCAGGAGACCAGCATTGCATCTCCTTTCACCAGAAAAAGAAATACGTGTAATTAGATAAGCCTTGCATGTGACCAAGTTGTATTTTGATTTCTCTAAATGAGTGACGTGGGTACAGGACAAGCAAAATGTGGGACGGATAAAACTGAACTGCTCCTATGCCTGGGCAGGGTCTGGACAGGTAAAATCTTGAACATCCTTGTTAGGAGCTCAGTAAAAATTTCTGCTCAGTGGGCAGCTACAGTGTGTGAAGGCAAGAGCCTTGGTTTATCCCGTATCTCTGTAGGCGGTAGCTGGTGCCCAGAAGTGGTGTTGCTCTGGACTCCTTGCACAGACATGGGAGAAAAACAGCACGAGGCAGCGGTTCCTCCCCTTTCACATCTGCTTCACCCTCGGGAGATGCCTGTGGTGTCCTCAGCTCAGGTCTTGGTAGCTTCAGTGAAACACCTGAAATTATGTGGGATGAATCGGGGTGGGATTGTGTGTGTTTCTAAAAAACAAGATGAGGAACAGTCTGTCTCCGAGAGATAAGGGGCACCTCCCTTAAGGAATGGTGAGTGCTTGGAGCCCGTTATGGCCTAACGTGTTGAGACCTGAGCACATAAATCCACCCCGGAGATCACTGTTGGAAATCAAGTCCACTGAGTACACCCTGTTGCACAGTGAGCATCGAGGGAGCATTGCTGGTGTCCTCTGAACCAGCTGGGACTTGTCCCTGCCAGACATGGGACTGCCACATGATCTGCTGTGGCATTTCCTAGCTCTCCTTGCTGTCTTCATGGCTTGCATGCCTCTCTCCTGCCTTTCCTTTCCCAGATCACTCCAGTCTGTACTCCTCCTCACCCTTGCGCTCTCCACGTCTGCTCTTGCTCCATGTACCTGCTCCCATCGCCCCACTCACTGCTATAGCCGCTTCTCTCTTCATGTACAAGTGACACCGTTGTCCCCATGGTAGAGGTTTTCACCGTATTTTCCTACATTTCAGGTCAAGCCAGAACTTTGATAAAACACAGATGGTGCGATCCACAGCTGCATCGGACAGAGCCAGCAGCAGGACCCCCACGCACCATGGTAGGTTGCAGTGGGGCAGAGGGCCTGGGTTGTGGTGCAGGGCGAAGTACGTGGCTGCTCCTCCGTGCCAGGGCCTTGTTGGCACTGCTGACTTCACGCTGGGAGGTCCTGGGGCTCTGGTTTTGTGGAAGGGATGCCAGGGGCACTTGGTGCTGCTCCTGTTAGATGCCTCTCCCCTTGACTTATTCCATGTGTCCCTGCCGTTTGCCCTGCAGTCACAGGGGACACGCTTGACTTCGGCTTACCTGGTCACAGCGTGCTAGCCTGCTTCAGCCCGCCGTGTTTCTCCACATGCTGCTCTGCTGCTCCCACCAATGTCTCCTCTGTTGCCCTCTCTGAGACCAGCCCCACTCATGCCACTAACCGGACAGGTAAGTACCAGCCCAAGCACCCAGGAGGTGCTGGAACAACGCTGAGGTGTGTCTGTCCCACCATTGCATCACCTCGTATCCCCAGCCTGCTCTCACCTCCTGTCCTACCTCTGCATGTTATGAACAGACATGCAGCCTGCCCTTCAAAATGTACCCGCTTTCCTCCACACCCACTGCCTGGGTTGAGACCTGCTCCAGCAGGCAGCTGCGGGGCAAAGCGGGACTGCCAGGCTGAACAGCCTTTGCTGCCCTTGTGGCACGGTTCAGAGATCCGTGATCATGCTGCCAGGGGTAAGTGGGGGCTGGAAGGTCTTTGGAGCTGCCTGCTTTGCCAGCACAAGGTCATGAGAGGCTACGCTGGGCTGGCCAGCATGCCCGATCTGCTGTACCTTGCAGTCTGACCTCCTCCTTTTCTTTGCTTTGAGCAGGGTTTTGACAGGCCAGGAGGTGTGCTGCCTCTTGGCTGCCCAAGCAGGGCTTTTGCAAGCTCGCTTGCTCCATCACCGGTCACTGTTGCAGGAGGAACAGCACCTCAGGCAGTCACTGCAGAGCCGTAACACTCCTGGAGTCATGCCTTAACCCTGCCTTAAACACCGTGCCTTACCCGAGCGGCGGGCTGTGCCCCTGCTTCGTCCCCACAGACTGCTCTAGCGTCCCTTTGCTGCGAGGGTCCCGCCGGCCCCTTCAGGCACAGAGGCTGGGAAGCCTCAGCTGCTCACAGCGGGGTAATACGGGAGGTGACATGGGGACAGGACAAATCCAGAGCTGGTAGCTGTTCTCTCTGCACTGGTCCCGGAGGTCGGAAGTGCTGCCAGCCCCTCTGCCTCTCAGCACAAGCTTTCTCTCCCTTCTCTTCGCAGACCAAAGTCAGACCTCACTCCTGCCAGTGACAAATATCAAAGCCAAATCCAGGGGCATCACTGGGAAAGCGACCTCCTACACCAAGTGGCCAAAGACGCCTGACAGGTCTCAGAGCTTCGGCAGCCCCAATGCCAGCCCCTCCTCCCCCTTCACCCACATCCAGGGCAAATCCAAGTACATCTCCAACCTCTCGCTCTCCCGCAGCAACTCCCCGCTGGGGCAGGCCCGGCAGCAGCGCAGCCGGTGAGCGAGTGGCCCCGCACAGAGGATCCTGGCACGGATGGTAAGTGGATCCTATCTTCTTCCCTCCCTGCAGCAGCACCGTGGTCCTGGGTTCTCTCCTGGGGTATCCTCAACCAACTGGATCTCATCTGTCGTGCACAGCTCTCACTGTGTCCCCATCCTGCAGCTTGTTTGCTCCCAGCTCTCCCAGTGCAGCCAGATTCAACCTTCAACCCTGCCCTTTCTCCCCCACGCTGCCCTATGCTTTCTGGCCATATTAGCCAGTTGCTAGTTCCCTTCTGAGGCTGCCATACTGGCATCTCCGTTCTTACCCCCATCTCAGCTTGCTCAGCCATTTCTAAATCAGATCTAGAGGAAGACATGCACAGATTCAGTCATGCTGGCAGCAGAGAGAAAGGAGTGTCGGTGACCGGACACCCCTTCTCCCGGCTCTCCGTGGCGTGGCTGGACGTTAGCGCAGTCTTGCAGCAATCTGACCCCCTCTCAGATGACAGGGTGATGAGGAAAGGTGGTCTCAGTGCCAGGCGTCCCTTCCAGCCCTTCTCGCTCAGGGTACCCCAGCTGCCATCCCTTTGCTCTTCCTAAATAGCCTGTTCTCCCACCCGCAGGGCCAAGCCCAGTGCTGCACTCCGTCCGGATCGTGGAGATCAATATGGCCATCCAGTCCCAGTACTGCGCAGCCGCCGACGCGTGCAGGTGAGCCAGGCAAGGCGGGCTGCCAGCACTTTGGTGGCAGCAGCACCGTGGGAGCTCCAGGGGAAGCAGCAGATGGGCAGCTCCTGGAGCCTTGGGTCGTTTTCTGCCATCACCCCATGCTGCTCCTTGGACAGAGGAGCTGGGGCTCCGAGTCCTTCCCCAAGTGCAGGAAGATTGCGTTTGGTGATGAGCTTGTCTTTGGGGACTAGCCTGGGAAGCCTTCCCCTCTGAAGTCTCAGCCCGGCAGAGACTTTGGGTCCCGTCCTGGCCATCTCACAGCCACCTGAAATGCTGCGGTGAGGTCTAACGCTCTCTCTGTGTCCCTAGGACTGGAAACTTCACCTACCGCATCCCTGTCAGCCAGCTCACAGCAGTGAACACCAACCTGACCCTGGAGATGAAGTGAGTGGACAGGGCTCATCTCTTAGGTGTTTCGGTACCCCTGAAGTCAGCCGGATACTGTGCCACGTGGCCATGGTGTCTCCTGCCTGAGCGGGGGAAGAGACAGCAGGGTCTTACTGTGTCTTGTCTCCCCAGCTCCTCCTCCGCTGTGTCCGTCTCCCTTTGTGGCCTTGTCTCCAGTGACCCCTGCCAGGATGCTGCGAGCACAAACAGCTCCACCGATGCCACAGACGCACAGGTAAGGAGGGAGGAAGGATACGGCTCACAAAATCCACAGGCGTTGTGTCATCCCAGCACACCACCGATCCCTCCAGAAGGGACTACAGCAGCCTGGCTAGGGCAGCGCAGGAGCTGCTGGAGGGAATTCGTGCTCAAACACAGCCGTACTCTGCACTGGCTAACGTCAATGACCCTTGGACACCCCTGCAACCCCAACAGGGAGGTGTCTATAAACCCGATAGATGTGGTCACTCATGAAATCATCCCACCCGACCCCTCTGCATGAGCCCCAGGACTGGGGAGAAAACACCAGGCTGTAAGCTGCCATAACGCATCCTAATGAAATCCCTTCAGGGGGATTTTGCAGGTCTGCGTGCGCGGAGCCTGCATCAGACCCTTCGTACCCTCGAGTGCCTCCTTGCCGCTCTCAGTCCAGCTCTACTGCTGACCTTGGAGAGGTTGCTGCTCCACTCAACAGCGCAGGGTCGTGTGGTTCCTTGCCAGTCTGGCCTGGGAGAACATCCCCTGATGCTCAGCCCTGATGTCATCCTAGCTATTCTGTTTTCTTCCCCAGGAAACAACGCACCGTTGGCCTCTTGTGATGATATCTTTCCGGGAGTTTACCTACCACTTCAGAGTAGCACAGCCTGTGAGTACCAGCAGCTGCTTTGTCTTTCCTCTTGTCCAGGGCTGAGCGGAAGGAGAGCAATGGGACCATGGCAGGTTTAGTGGCCACATTGCGCTGCGAGCCTTCCACAGCCCTTCCCATCGTGTCTGTTGCCTTCCGCAGTTACGTGGGTAGTGGGGGTATGATTTTTCTCTGCCCCAGCACATAATTCACGCACAGTCCCCCCCTCAGAGCATGTGTCCTACCCCTGTCTGTAAGCTCTTTTTCTTGCTCTCTCACAGGGCCGAGCCAACTGCAGCACTGCCCCCGAGCAGATGGGACACCTTTTCACTGACTATTATTTTCAGTTTTACTGGCTCTGTGAGTGAGTCCTGGCAGCACCAGTGCCCTCTGGTTGGAGAGAGGAGGGGGACTGGTGACACTGGGGAGACTCCTGTACACCCTCCTCCACTAGCCCCCAGCCCCACCTTACCCCCGTCTCCTGCGTGGGGCGGGCGTGGAGCTGGTGTGGTTGTGGCTGGTGATGCAGGCACTGAAGCACAGCACACGCAGAACATAGGACCTAAGCCACAGAAACACAACCAGCCCTGTGGTATCTCCTGGGCTCACCTCGCACCGACTCCCACCATCCCACGCCGCCCCAAACATCTCTCTCCTTCCCTTATGGGGACGCTTGTGTCCTCCGTCACTTCTCCCTCCCCTTGCAACACTGGATTTGAAAGCATTACACTGGACTGAATGTGGACGGGTCTGCCACATCCCAGAGCGCGGATGGGAGCTCCATCCTGTACTGGCCCAGTGATCCCAGACGTGCCACATCAGTTCTTCACAACACTGGAATTGCTCAACACTGGAGCCCTTTCCAAGAGCGAAACGCTGGTGTTTGGCCTGGAAAGGAAGGCTGTGCCTGGACGTACTGGAAGTCGTACACTGGAGTTGCTGTTCCTTCTAGTTGGCCCAGGGCCATCCCCCGCAGCCCCACTCCACAGACCCCCGGAGACCCCAGCACCCGCAAACAGACTGTCCTCCGTGGACAACAAGAGAAGGTGCAGCTTCAACTTTAGCCCTGTCTGTCCCCCTCCTCACTGTACTCTAACTTTCACCGTATCCAGGTCTGGCTGGATAAACTCAAGAACCCCACTAAAGATGCTGCTGAGGCTGTGCCCAGGCCAAACCGCGTGTGGGGACGCTTGCCATCAACCCACGGGAGAAAAATGACCGTGAGTCACCTGCATTAAGTGTCCTGGGACCCATTTTTTTTTCATTTGGCAGCAGCGTCTGGCCTCTCGCAGTGTGTGTGTGGAGATGCCTGGTCAGCTCTCAAGTCAACGCGGCCACCTCTGCCCAGATGTGCAGAAGAGAGACCACTGGCAAAGCCCGGTGCGCCCTGCAGAGCAAGGCTGAGTTGCTGGGGACGTGGCTTCACTGCACCCCCTGGCTAACGGGTCTCTGCCCGGCACTGAAGAGGCTGACCCTCTCCCACAAAACGGGGAACGGCAGCGACTGTGGGCCCTTGCTGTCACTGTTCTCAGAAAGCAGTTATGTTGAGTGTATTTTGGGTATTTTACTGTTACAAGTTCTTAACTTGCTAAACTACTGAATTTTTTTTTTTTTTTTT